GGCTTCAAAAGACACAATGAGAATTCTTTTACTGCTTTGGACCCACCTCTTTTGGTTTGGGCTTCTTTCAATTCATGATACACAAGAAACTAAGAAAATAAAGATACAAATCAATTGGGGAAGTTATTATATTTTCATGAAAATGTTCAGAGAAATAATTTTGAGAGGAAAGACAACACTACAGACCTCTTGTGTAATGTAAAAGATATAGAGTAAAATCAGCATTTAAACTAGGTAGTTTTGTAATTCAGGAGGAAATGGTCTCCCCAGTGAGAATAGAGTTCTATGCATAATTTCATCTCAAAGGTGCACTGTGTAATATTTTGGTAGAGGGCATGCCATCAGCTTGTTTCCATGGAGATGTGATTGCATTGCTTGGAGTGGTCCATGGTATGGCGTTACACTTATTTACCGCAACTAAACACAAGCAAGTGACGTCACAAGGCCAAGTTGCAGGGTCATATCTGTGGAGAGGCGAGCCCACTTACAGTAAGAATGCATGTTTTTATGTCAATTATACACATGGAATTGAGAAAATGCAAGATGGATAGTTTAAGGCCATACTGTGGGACATCCAAGACAAAGCGATAACATCTCCATGGAATCAAGCTGATAGCGTACCCTCCAAGAGAAGTTACATAGTGCAGCATTAAGTATTCAAGTTTGGTTCTGTAAAACAAGCCAAAGTCACATACTATCACCCACTGAAAATTATCATGAAACATAAGCTGAGGTGGTAAAAACTCTGCTGGGTCACTGAAGAATGAAGCAATCACATATAACACTTTTAAGAAGGACAGAAGTGAAAAATGTATTTGTAAACTAAAAATATAAAATATAAAGCATTGATTTTAATATAGGTAAATATGGTTTATTGGTCCCAAGTAGCAGATATTGATCATCCAAATCCAATCCATATTGGACCAGTCCCAGTTTAAAAGTTGTAAGTTTGACGAGGAATCATTGTAGCCATAAAAAAAGCTAAACATTGTGATTACATGTTTTGCAGAATATAAAACATTCAAAGAGTTCTGGTAGTGGTAGTGGTAGTAGTAGTAGTAGTAGTAGTAGTAGTACCACCTTACTGGCACATTTATGTATATACAATTGCAACCAACATCTAATCTGCATCTTTTCATAGTCACATCATAGCCATCATAATATAGTTTTTATAGATAGTTGTTCACTTAAAAAAACTAATAAGAGAAAAAAAAAAAACAAGAAACATTTTACGACAATATTATTATTAATTCAAAACACAAAAAGCACAACTGTACAAATAATACACTCTGATAAAGCCAGAATAATCTTAGAAAAAGGTTTGAGAAATAATATAATACATTTATAGCATTGTTCCGGCTGGTCACCGCTGCACTGCCAGTCATTCTGTGAGCTGCTCCTGTTTTCCTTTGAACTCATTTACTCGTGCCTGAAAAAACACAAGTGAAGTTTCTCATGAGTATATCTCTGTTGCATGGAGAGTCTTAGTGCTAATCAACACTGACTACCATGATCCATCAAAATGGAAAAGCCAGTCACATTCCCAGAGTTTTGCTTTTATCTCTCAAGAAAAATACTTATCGCATTTGAGCAAATTAAGGTGTGCTTCTGGTTTGGCCTCCCTGAAAGGTCAAAATTCAGCCCCTCTCATGGGAAGACCAGCAAAACTGAGCAAGATCAACAGTTTCTTCCAGTCATGACTGTGTTTGGATTCATTTCTGCTTTACACTTCACATGGTTCATTTATTCATTCTAGGGTTGCCAGAAACTCAGATACGACTTGATAGAAAACTAGTACTGAAAACACCTCCTCATTTGAACTGCAGAACTTCTGACTTTTCTGGATAGTTTAAAGGTGCATTGTGCAACTTTTCTGGTAGAGAGTCTGTCACCATCTTGTTTCTATGGAGATGTCACTGCTCTGCCTGGAATGTTCCACAGTATGACATTAAACAGCTCTACCCTACATTTATTCAATTACAGGTGTTTTATTGCTCAAAAATACTTTTACACATACATAAATACTTTTACCTATAGCTTTGGCCAGCATAGTGTCAAAAATTATTGAAGTAATCCTGCTGAACTGGATCTGACAATTTATTAAATCTACAGACAACCAGTTTGGGTTTAAGGCTATGCTGGGCAGAGATATGTGTGTATATGCTCTAAAAGAGATTATTGCTAAATACAAGAGACAGAATTCATCAGTTTTTATGTGTTTTTTAGATGCATCCAAAGCATTTGATAGGCTGAATCACCGGAAACTATTTATGAAGATGATTCAAAAGCGTGTGCCCAAATACATTGTGCGTTTTTTGATGTACTGGTATGAAGAGCAGACAATGCAGATTAAATGGGGAAACAGTGTGTCTGCCCCATTTAGGGTCAGCAATGGGGTAAGACAGGGGGGAATTCTGTCTCCAGTTTTATGTAATTTGTATATAGATGAATTGTCAACAAAGCTTAGAACATCTAAAACAGGTTGTGTGGCTGGAAATCTTGTTGTGAATCATTTAATGTACGCAGATGATTTGGTTATTTTCAGACCGAGCACCTCTGGTCTCCAGCAGCTACTTAACATTTGTTCAGCTTACGGTGTGGAGCATGATCTAAAGTATAATGCAACCAAGAGTGTGGTCATGATCTGTAGGACCAAAGAAGATAAGCACATGAGATTTCCTGACTTTTGCCTGTCAAATGTTGTGTTGTCTGTTACAACAAAAATTAAATATTTCGGGCATATCATCACTGCGGACATGACAGATGATGATGATATGTACAGACAGTGTAGGATGCTCTATGCTCAGGCAAATACCCTTATGCGTAAGTTTGGTTCTTGTACAAATGATGTAAAGTTGTTATTGTTTAAATGTTATTGTACACTGTTGTACACAGCTCACCGCTGGACTAATTATAAAAAAGCCAGTTTGCAAAGACTGCAGGTGGCCTACAATGACGCTTTACGGGTGCTTTTGAGGAGCCACGATGGACGAGTGCGACTGAAATGTTTGTTACTGCTCGAGTGAACACTTTGCAAGCTGCACTAAGAATTTTAATGTACAGTTTTATTTGCAGACTGAACAAATCAGACAATGAAATAATAATGTCACTCACAAATTTGAGACTCAGTGCAATAAGATACCAGTCCAACATGTGGAGACACTGGTATGGTTGTCTTTTAAAAACATGAGTGTTTATTGTTTTGTATTGTCACTGTTCTTTTTTTTTTTTTTTTTTTTTAAATGGACCATGAGTCCAGAATAAAGATGATGATGATGATGACTACCTATTCTATTACCTATTCTAATGAGCTACCAGTTAATACCAGTTAATATTATAAAGCCAGACACCAAGAACTGATGAAAGCCAAAGCTTTACAAAACCTACACATCACACACTCTATGACTGGTTAATTTAAACTGTTAATTAGAGCAACAGAAACCAGCCTTTGGGGAATTTGGAGGGACTGTTTTTGATCATTGAAAAGCACTAAACCAAAACCATTGGACATGGCCAATTTAGTTTATACTATCCATTTTATGCTTTCAAGCTCCATTGACAAAAACTTAGTCAACCTCAAAACTAAATTCAGATGACTACTATTTAAAATCTGAAGGACTGGAGTCATCAAAAGTTTACATTTTTCACATCTCAAAAAATCATCCTGAGTTTTGCGACTACCCTCCTTTGAAGTGCATTGGTTTAACTTTATTACATTAGTGCACTGCGCATGTGTTTGCCTCCCTGGGCCCACAGAGGGGTCAAACTAAGCCCCCCGATGGGAGCAGCTAGTGAAGTATGAAGTGTTAACAGGCAAACACTCCAAAATGATGAATGACCATCTTACCACCACACTACTAAATAGCCCTATGCAGCAAAAAGGCTGTAAGACAACTAAATACGACTTGAGTTGTGTGTTTTATCAGGAATCCATAGCCAAAGAAGACATAAGAGATTTCACCAAGATCTGTACATCATAAGTGCAGTGTCAGGCTGAATTATAAACATGTCTGACACGCAATGGCCCCCAACTGTGAAACTGTGGCGCAAACTATAAGCCCTATCTTATTTATGGTGCTGCAAGATGAATCTCAGTTGAATTTAAATTGCAGTTTGAATGGAGGCAATTAGCAAATCACAAAGGCTGTGATTTTTAAACTACCATAATCCCCTCCACAAACAAAATATCCTGGGTTTAGCCAGTATAAAAACGGCTAAGAATATAGTTTAGATCTGTACGAAGTAAATAGGTTCTGAAATGGAATTCTTAATGATTTTATTCAGTTCATAGTC